AGTCGGCAGGTGGAGAAGAAGCCGGGAGAGTACCGTGCAGCCTGCGAAAGGCAATCGGTTTGGGGATGGTGGGCTAGGGGCTTGCAAGACCGGAGGGATGACTTGACTATTGGGTAGCGGATCTTTAGACTTTTTACTACCATAGTTTAACTTTTTGTTGGGCTTTCCACTAAACCCACAAAAGTTGAAAACTGTTTTTGCAGAGGGCTCAACAGCAACCAAGCTGAAGCTTGTTCTGCATCATGGGATCTGGTGACCTCAGTTTGTCCATTTGTCGGTCCAGATATGGTCTTAAAAAACTTAAAGTACTCAGGGAGATGGAGAAGAGTCATCCCCTAGAGGACCCAACCTTGTAAGAAGCAAAGGGCTTTTGACATTCCGAAAGACCTGAAAGGACAAGGGTTTGGGGGTTACGGACCTATGGACTAAACACTGAGCTCGGAGTGGCTTGCGGGGCGCGAACCACCATTAAAACAATGGTTGGGCAACCAGGGCTCCTTAAAATATCTCCATTTTGCAACCATTTGAAGCATAGCTTTTTCCACCAACATAAAGGGAAACCACAATTTACAAGGCAATACTGGGTGTAATGTAAGGATCCGTGATTCGGCTCAACTTGCAGCATTGTTTACCCGTCAAACGGATTGTCATCATCCAAATTGGGTCCCCTGAGTTGCCGTTCAATTTTAACGGAGTTCATAGCCATGGCTTTTCAGTCGCCCACAAACCGACCAGTTACCAATCAGTCAGAACCATGGTTATAAGTTATAACCTACTTACGGCTGAACATCCAGTGGGGGTGGTGTAGGTCCCTCCAAATGGTCCCAAGGCCATTTTTTTAATATTCATGGTGCTTCGGGAACCATAGGGGTGGGTGTGGAGAAGAATCAAACCCGTTTCAAGGGACCATTTTGGGAAGCAACTCACCCCATGTTTAAGTTTGTTTGAGGGTTCGGGTCAGATGCATCGACAAGCCCACACCGAGATTCATCGACCCCATGGACCCCAATTGCCCAGTGGATTCCGCCCCTTTTTTACCGCTTCTTCAGGTGGGTTCCCCTTCAAACTCACCCAGCCAAAAAAAAGCGCCGCCTTGATGATTTTCACCCACTGGGCAAAAACGAGAAGCTCCCCACAAACAAGACTAGGTCCCCCAGCTAGGTGCGCATTTACCATTTCTTTTTTGGGGGAGGGTTCCCCTACTAAAATAGACAGAAAAGTTCCCCTACTAAAATAGACAGAAAAAAGTTGGTACCAACTTATTCTAACTTCTATCCTCTCAACTCTGGGGGACCTCTGTAGAAAAACCCGCCCGCCGCCCAAGAACCCCAGCGGTGCCAGGTGCTCCGAGCTGCTGAAGGCGCCCCCCTGCAAGGCCTGCGGGCAACCAGCGCGGGGCCCCAGAAAGGCGCCGAGCCACGAGTCCCGGGCCCCGGGATTGAACATGGCCGCAGTGGTTCAGTGGCGCCAAGAAACTGTTTCCCTTTTTTCTCTGGTGGCTGCCCGGCCCACTAAACAGTGGGCCAAGCCCAAAAAAGGGTTCCCCAATTCTTTTTTTTTCCCATGGTCACTGAACAACTGAGTAGCCCTTGTTTTAGGAATAAGCTCAGGTGATATCCCCAACATGTGGAACCCTGGTGGAACCCTGGTGGAACCCTGGTGGAACCCTGGTGGAACCCTGGTGGAACCCTCGAACCTTACCTCCGGGCCGCCCCGGACCTATCTGGGCTGAGACCCCAAAGTTTTCAGTTGTTGGGGAAAAATACTGGGGGGGGGGGGGTACCTAAAGAGATTTGTTTTTGCGTACTTTTTTGGGTGCCAAAGAGAGGGGAAGAATGACCTGCCCAGGCGCTTGTTCTTTCTGGGGAGCTTCCTCCTGGTGGGATATGGGTGTGGCTCAAAATTGAACTGCCGGGGTTACGCAGGTTTTAGTCTTCGTTTCTTTGTTTCCAAGGTGCCATTTTGGTACTTTTTTTGACCCAAAATGTTTCATGATATGTTCCGCTGTCAAATTGTTGTCAAATGATTGACCACACTCTGACATGCGCGGTTTGGTCGGGAGGGCAAAAGCTGAGGAGGGTTACCGTGGTTTGGTAGGAATGGTCATCAACCTTTTGATAGCCAATGGACAGACCGTAGCTAGGAATCATCACGACGACCCACATCAGGAGTGTTTTTTCCAGGTTGTAGCTGGTTGATAACTAAGCTATGTCAGGTACGTGGGTTCTAACTTCCAGGTTATAACTGTCTGGTACCTGGTCGGTTGGTGGGCTTAGTTTCCTTTGGGTTGCCATGTTTAAAACCAGCGTTATATATATATATATGTATATATATATATATATATACATGGTCAGCCCCCCCCCCCCATGCACTACTGTTCCTTCTTTCTTGACAAAATATCAAGACATGACTGCAACGGCACTTTTTTTCCCATAGTTGTTAGCTCTCTCGACAATAAAACAACAAGAAAATTGACAAAACATATTCCGTTTTTATATATGCCTTCTTGCAGACATATTTCAAAGTATGAAAAATAGCAACGAACCTCTTTGTTTTTAAAGTTTGTTTCACATGCTACCACTACGAGTGGCAAACCAGCGCCTGTTTTTTTTTGCATTTTTTGAGTACATTCCATTCTGTGAACATCATATTTTTAGACAAAACCAAAAACAACTCGAGGAAACCCAAAAAAAATCTCGAGAAAACAACAAAAACAAGAACACGCACAATTCCAAGGATAATCTTAGGTTTTGCTTTCTCTCTCTCTCTCTCTCTCTCTCTCTCTCTCTTTTTTCTCGTGTTTTTTTTTTTTGGGGGGGGGTTTTGGTTTTCCAAGTGGGGGCCCTGAAAACCAAAAAACACAATGTTTTTTCCATTTTGGCCCTAAAACCACAAACAAACTCGAGGAAAACCCAAAAAAAAGAAACCTTGAGAAAACCTTGAGAAAAGAAACCAGGAGGAGAATCTTGGGTTTGGCTCAATTTGTGTTTTTTTGGGGTTTTCCCAAGGAACAAAAAGCAACTCGAGGGAAACAATAATAGCTTAACAAGTGAGACTGGGTATAAGGCCAACCTCTGGGGAGGCTTCGCCAGACACGAGAGCTGCCATGATGATTGGAAATCAAAAGGGGGCAATTTCACACACAGCCTGTATGTATCCAAGTGGCGTGAATCCTTGCCCGACAGAAAAGCAGAATAGTTGCCCTTCACAATAGAATTATTGACCTTGAGACATTGCCCTTCAGACAAACAGAATAGTTGTCCTTCAGATACGTATTATTGACCTTGAGACATTGCAACAGCACCCAAAAGGTAGTTCATTGGGGGGGGCCTGAGAATATATATATATATATATAGATAAAGGATGTGGGTGTTGAGATGGTACCCTTATATTTTGATATGAGTGTGTGTGTGTGTGTGGATGAGCGGATCCTTTTGGGATCGGCTTGAGTACCCTCACAGAAGGACACACCCATTCAACAGCTTGGGCTTCAGACCCTCCATTGGTCTTAAAGGGAAACCCGACGAAACTGTTGCCATCTTAGGAAATGGTGCACAATTTTGAGAGTTCCCCATATTTCATACCGTAGATGGACGAAATCCTGCACCTAAGAAACCATGGGAACCATTGTTTGTTGCGATTGGGTTTCTTACGTGCAGGATGTTGTCCATCTTCTTTTCTTTTTTCTGCACTGGGGGTTCCTCCCAGAGTGGGTTTTTAATGGGTCTTGGACCCTTTGGCGGGCTTCATTCGGGCGGGGATTCATGTCCAACTTCCAACCACATAAGATGTTCGGTGTCCCCCGCCAAAAAAAACATAATCACGAGTGGTTCATTGACAAATCAGCCGAGCTTCTTGAAGCAGGGTTCCAAACACGGGTTCATACCTTTTGGCTTTGGTTGTTTGGGGTGGCAGCGTGGTTTGTTTTTGCCTCAGTACTCAGACCCTACTCATCCCTACAAGGCGTTTTGTTCCCAGACCCATCCAGATGGTCTACTTTAGTGGGGATTGGGATGTTCACTGGGGGGAACCGGGATTTTGACCCATGGCCATGCGGGTATGGCTGGATGTTCGTTGTTGAAAGTACCCAGAGCTCCAGTGCTCAAAGCGAATCCTGATTTGGCTAAGATATATGGTTGTATGTTCCCCTGTTGGGTTTGAAAGGGATATTGGAAGTATGATTGTATTGTCTACAGCAAAAAGGGTACCCTTATTCTTCCCTCTCTACTGGAGGACCTGGTTGCTTCCCCCTGGGTTTCAATCGGAGTCCATATGCTGGAAATGAAGGTTACAGGTGATCACCCTTTAATTCCAGGTCCGACAAGGGCAATTGAGGAGGGCTCCTGAGACAACGCCATATGTCTTATGCCAGTCCTATGTTTGGAGCGGGTTCAACCCAGACCTGAAGCCCAGTAGTTCTATCCAATCAGGGATGCTATGGTCAGAATGCAAGGGCGGCATAATTTGGCTGGGTTTCCGTTTGGTCAGTGCCACCCTCTGTCCCTATTTGTTTCGTGACTTCCCCTCTAAAGATGGTCAATCCCAAGACGTGGTGGTCACGGATCATCGAGTTTTGGCGTAGAAAGTGATGATTGAACATTTCAGGAATCGGGGGGTTGAATTATACATGTTTGTGCTCTTCTGTGCGCTTGCGTGGTTCCTGATCAGATTTGCGCACGTGGTTTAAACAAACCATGCTACGAGCCTGCAGACTCACATGCGATGCCTCAGGCGCATTCAGCTTGATTCATGGCGTGCGTTCGCTTGTTAGATGGCACGGATGTGATGACGACGGCGGAGTATTCCCGATGGTGGGACGAGGTGTGCAGGCAGGAAGATGGAGATAGTCTTTTCGACGCATTGCGACGCCACCTGGCCAAGAGATTCCCAGTTGCCCGATTGGCACCCGGTTTTCCTTATTTGGTTTGTATTTTTTTAAGATCAACCAACAGCAAATCAGACAATGCTATCCTTTTGTGCATTGGAGCCGTCCAAATAAGGATTGCTTTTGCCAAACTTCAGGCAGCTCGCGGTGGCTGGTGACAACGGCATGATGGGGTCAGGGAGTCTGTGGGGGAATTCGTGTTTAACGGCCATCAAGCGGCAGTATGTTGAAGCAGATGGTGTGGCAACTTGCATTGACTTGCTGCAAGCGGCAGAAAGGGGTGACGCACAACATGTGATAGAGCTGTTGGAGAAGCCTTATGATCCCAATGCTGCTGACAGAAACAGACATTTCACACCTTTGTTATATGCTTCTGCAAATGGTCATCAGGCAGTTGTGCAGTGCTTGCTAGATGCCGGTGCTGACAAGGAGAAGGCAGACAATGATGGCATCACGCCATTGCATCTTGCTGCACGTCATGGCCATCAGGCAGTTGTGCAGTGCTTGCTGGATGCCGGTGCTGACAAAGAGAAGGCAACCGATGATTTCACCACACCATTGCTTTATGCTGCACGTCGTGGCCATCAGGCAGTGGTGCAGTGCTTGCTGGATGCCGGCGCTGACAAAGATAATGCAGACGATGATGGGGACACGCCATTGCGTGCTGCTGCAATACGTGGCCATGAAGCAGTTGTGCAATGCTTGCTGGATGCTGGTGCTGACAAAGACGATGCAGATTTCACGGGCGCCACACTATTGCTTGATGCTGCGATGCAGGGCCATCGGGCAGTTGTGCAGTGCTTGCTGGATGCCGGTGCTGACAAAGAGAAAGCAGACGATGGTGGCACCACACCATTGCTTGTTGCTGCAGCGCGAGGCCATCAGGCAGTTGTGCAGTGCTTGTTGGATGCCGGTGTCGACAAAGAGAAGGCAGACAAAACGGGCGCCACACCATTGCATCTTGCTGCACGTCATGGCCATCAGGCAGTTGTACAGTGCTTGCTGGATGCCGGTGCTGACAAAGAGAAGGCAGACAACACGGGCACCACGCCATTGCTGCTTGCTGCGGTACGGGGCCTTCGGGCAGTTGTGCAGTGCTTGCTGGATGCCGGCGCTGACAAAGAGAAGGAAGACAATTGTGGCACCACGCCATTGCTTGTTGCTGCAGCGCGAGGCCATCTGGCAGTTGTGCAGTGCTTGTTGGATGCCGGTGTCGACAAAGAGAAGGCAGACAAAACGGGCGCCACACCATTGCGTGTTGCTGCGGGGCAATGTCTCTGGGGAGTTGTGCAGTGCTTGCTGGATGCCGGTGCTGACAAAGAGAAGGCAGACGATGGTGGCACCACGCCATTGCTTGTTGCTGCAGCGCGAGGCCATCAGGCAGCTGTGCAGTGCTTGTTGGATGCCGGTGCAGACAAGGAGAAGGCAGACAAAACGGGCACCACACCATTGCATCTTGCCGAACGTCATGGCCATCAGGCAGTTGTGGAGTGCTTGCTGGCTGCCGGTGCTGACCAAGAGAAGGCAGACGATGATTGCACCACGTGGTTGCTGGAGGCCGGTGCTGACAAAGACGAGGCAAACAACGCGGGCGCCACAGCATTGCGTTTTGCTGCAGAGCAGGGCCATCAGGCAGTTGTGCAATGCTTGGTTGATGCCGGTGCTACAAGAGCAGGTGCTCCAACGTGAGAGTGCGCCTTCTCATCAAATGTTGCTGCATTGCAGGGTTTTACATGATAGAGTTGCTCAGCATCGCTGGCTTATCGCTGGCGTGTTTTTTTCTTTTGTAAAGCCAGACAACATCGCACGTCCCCGAAGACACGTTGAAGGGGCCGACATTGGGATCGAGGTGTTTGGGGCTACGTATCTTGACTCTATGGCTATTTGGATCTTTGGGCTTTCACCTTTTTGGCTGAAACAGTTCGGATTTGTTCCATTGGACCCATCAAACAGTTGCCTAACTTTTTGCCGAGGGGTCGTTCCAAGTTGAAATCCTTCCGCTTGCCTCAGAATATGTTATGTTGCCCTGTTGGTTTTTAACATGGAATCTGTCACTACTGGATTGTTTGGTTTACCAAAAAAAGAAGCAGATTCCAGTGGACTTGTCTTCAAATGGGCCTAGTGATAAAGCTTCCAGTGACAGAGTCCTTCAAATGGAAGTGGATGTACCCCCGCAACTGGAAGGATCTTTTTGGACACTGCAATCACTCTCGCTCTCAGCAGTGGAGGTCAAGCTGAGGAGAATCATCTGTAAATTAGTTTTTGGCAAAACTGGTTGGATTCCCTTCATATTTCCAAATCAACCAGCAAACAATGAAACTTTTTGCTGGGGGATCTACAGCATCCAGGCCATATTCTGTTCGGTGAGTTGTTTTGGCAAAACTGGGGTCTCCAATTGCAATGTATCAGGTAGCCCCCAATTGGTGGTTTGGATTGGTGGTTTGGGGATTTGAACCCTGGTTCTCTTGGAGGTTACATGGGAAGCCGCCCATCCACCAAGCCACCAGGCTCCAAACCACCAAAGGTTTTTTGAAGCCGCCAAGCCACAATCCAAACCACCCCCATTTTTAAAGGGTCATGGAGACTGCAGGTATATGTTTAGGTATATAGTTTGTTAACATCATCCCTGAGGAGATTCCCTCAGCCTCTACATGAGGTACCAGTGGTCAGCCTCGGCTTCAGATTTTCAGATGGATGTTCTCATGATCTTTCAGCGACTGGTTTCAACTTTAAAGGCCAAGCAAACAGAGGAAAATCCCTCCGGCCCCCATCTCTACCGCTATTGGGGTGGATCTTTAGACTCTAACTTTTTGGATTCCCTTCATATTTCCATTTTTTTCACCCGCAAAAAGTTGAAAACACTTTTTGCTGGGGGAACAACACCCTTTTTTCACCCGCAAACAGTTTAACACACTTTTTGCGGGATCTACAGCATCTTTGGGCCATATCCTGTTCGGATTCTTTTGGCCACGGTCTTGGCCGCTTTCCCAGGTGAGGGACGCCAGGCGGGCGGGGTGGCGTGGCGAATCTCGGGGCCTGAGCGGCGAGAGGGCGTTTTGGACACCGAAGCGGCGCAAAGGGGCAAGCAAAAGCGGGTTCGAAGCTCCATGGATTTGGTGGAATTCTTGGATTTTGGGTTGTTGGGTTGGCTTTCGTCCGGTAGACATGATCTGGTTTGAAGTTCGACTGGTTTCCCCAACGAGAATGCTCGATGGGTTGGCTTTTGTTGCAGATTCCGGTCGGTTTCTTGCGATAGGGTTCCCTTTGCGCTTTGAAGTGCCCTCCTTTTTTTCTCCAGGTTGTCCAAAAAGCGTCGCGCCCGGGTTTAGAGCCGGGGCCCGGAGCCTTTGGGGTCTGCAGGTTTCTTGCGTGCCGCTTTCGGGATGTTCGCGCCATGCCGGGTAAGTAGGGTATAGCTCAGGGCTTGCCGCTATAAATTGCATGCCTTCTTTGCGAGGATGGGGGGGGGGCTATACAGGCTTACCGACTCGCATCGAATTTGGCAACATCTGCCCCTAATTCTGGAGAACGTTCACCCCCAAATTGGTGGTAAATTGTGAGTAAATCGAGGGGAAAATTGGTGGAAGTCTGGGTTTAGTTTACCCCCCAATTTTGAGGGAACTTGGGGACTAACGAGTCCAAAAACTGAGGGGGGGGTCAATCCCAATTACCCCCAAACAAATGTGCATGGGGATGTGTTTTGGAGCCAAAGGAACGCTGGGACGGGACGCCTTTTGACGTTTTTTGTTTTGTTTTTCTTCGGCCCTCAGTTTCACGGTGTTTGTGGAGGCCCTGTGACCCGACCTCATTTTGTTTTTCGAGTCGTCCATGGGGATTCCATGGGTTGTTGTTTGGACCTGGCATGGTTGTTGTTGGGAAACATTTTACATTTTTGCTTATTGTGGTTTAGTGGGAAATCCCAACTCAACTGCTAAAATTTAAGTTGTTGCTCCCCTTTCAACATCAACCAAGCTGGAGTCTCCTTCTGACCCTTTAAAATAATGGGTCAATGACCAACAATTATTTTCTGACGAATAACCAACCATTTTTCAAGGGTCGGAAGGAGACTCCAGGGAAACATTTGTCCCATTTGGGTATGGGTCAAAATACAACCACCAGGAATCGGACCGCAGGTTTTAGTCTTTGGCTCCCATTACCAGGGTTCCATTTTGGGTACGCATTTTTGACCCACAGCCTTTTTTTGCTTGTTGTGGTTTGGTGCTTGAAATCCCCACTCAACTGCTACGTACAATTCACAATTGTTGCTCCCTTCCAACGGCAACCAAAACTCCTTCGCTAAGTTTAATGGCACCCCAGCTGTTATCCATGACATTGATCTGAAATTCACCGAGCATACTTGAGTCAGAGTGACCTCAGGCTCGAAGCCGGCTCATAAACCCTTCCCTTCGGTGTTCCTTGCATTCGTTTTCTGTGAATGGGATAACCAAATTTGATCACTGGACTCCTCGGGGCCCGAAGAAATTTCCAGCAATCGGTCTTTGCCAACCAGTTGGGCTCAATTCTCTCTTCACCCGAGCCATCATTGGGCCAGGGTCTCCATTGGAAGGTTTTAGATGCTTAGGGCACGGTGATTTCTTTGGGGTCCAGGCACCTTCTTTGCCGGCATTCTATGTCCATGGCAACCCCCCACTTGTTACCCACGCATCCACCCGTCGGCCCTGCGTTTCCGCGTTTCTGCGGCGAAGCCGCGACTCGAACGACCAGGAAGAACGAGGCCCATCCCTTCCACGAGGAGTGCAGGAGGTGCAGCTCCTGTCATCAGAAGGTCTCCAGGCCGGCGGGGGGTTCTCTATAGGAAGATAGAGGGCGATTCCTACCTGGCGGCCATCGATTTTCCATGTCCATTCTTTCCAGGCATCCGAATCTTTCTAAGAACCCAAAGCCAAATTTCCTGGGGGAAACAGCTGCTTTTCGAAAGAACGATGGTGTCCTTTTTGGGTGGTTTTGCTCGAACAAATAGATGGCGATTCCTGGTTTATTTGGTGCTTTAATCATCTACCAGGGATATCCATCGATTTCCCCTAAAAGGCACCTGTGGACGCAAAGTCTTGCTGTCAATTTGATCTTTTTTGACCTGCTAGGTCCCCAGTATTTTGGGGGGGAGAGTGTCCCAACCAAAATAGACTACAGCAAAAAGGGTACCCTTATACTAACCTCTCTACTGGAGGACCTAGCTTGTGTTTGCAGTATTTGCAGTAGATTCCTGCTTGATCCCAAAAGAACGTAGGTCCTTGTTTAGCTCCTTGAAAACTCGAATCAAGCAAACTGCCACCTAATGTCAAAAACGAGTTCCCTTGTAACCAGCTCAAAGGTCACATTGTTCACTACTCATGTAGCTGTAGTAGGCAAAATGCACTTTGGCAGCTTTTGCCCAAAACTGCAGCTTTTCAGCACAATCGTAATTAATTCCAACGGGTTTGCTATAGTGTCTTTTTTTGCAGGGAGACTCAGCAACAAAATGCAAGCCTTTTGTTTGATAGATCCAGGCGAATACAATTTCTGAGCGAATGCCGAAGAACACCTCGTTTTACAGCATTTGTTGCCATGAAGCAAATCCATGTTGATAGACATGTTTCTCTTGTTAGCGTGGCTCAGTGCTTGTTTAAATTCAATCGGAATTTGATAAAACTTGGAAAATCACTCTTTGAAACGGATAGCTGTTTCTGCAATTGTTGTTTACTCGGAATGCACAAGGAGCTGCAATCGCTTAAAGGTTGACTTTGGATTGAACTCGAAACAGCATTTGAGTTTGGATACTATTCCAATGTTTGATTCTCAATAGAGGTTATTGACAATGATTAAATTGAATCAGAGAAGCGCCACATCACGTTGATAGCGATAAAGCATGAGTTATGTTTCCCCAAATCGATGGACACTGTCCAAAATAAAGGACCCCAAAACAGCCTGAGGATCTTGAATTAGGAAACATACTTTTCAACAAAAGAGGGCCTAATTGTTTCACAGGGTCCAACATCAGTCTTTGAAGTCTATGAGCCTTTTGATCATGTAGCACTCAGCTTTTGTTAAGGAGGTTCCGACGGGCGCGCTCAGCTATCAACAAAAACCGCCTCGTCGGCCGGGCATGGCGCTTTTCGCCCTGCTCTTCCCGGTGGTGTGCATGGGAACTAGCACCCGGCGCTTGCGAGTGCGGCGCGCGCAAAAACCCGCTTGGCAGGAACTGCTACTGCTTGAAACCGGGCTGTCTGGTTCCCAGCACTGCTCTCCCTCTGGGCTGTTTGGTTCTTAGCCGGACTTCCCGGCATGCCCGCGATTCCTTAAGTTGACATCGAGGAAATCGAAGCTGAAGCTGTGACCCTTCTCCAGTGCTTCTACAAACGCGCGCGGAAGACTTTGGGAGCCGGCCAGGCGGCCAGGAAGGACGTTGGCGGCTTGCGCATCCGGACCCGTGGAGTCGAAGCAAATCCGCTGAGCCCAAGACGTGTGGCTTGAAAGCGCCAGGAATGTAACCCGGTGATTTTGAGAAATATTGGATTCAGGAAAAACAATCTAGTGTGGCCCATTCCTGAGATGCATGCAGACACCTGCAGATGGCATCATTGCTCTTCATATTGATTTCTAACTGGCACCCCCTAGCCACTTCTGCAATAAAAATGCAAATAAAAAAAAAGCAAAAACAAAAAAACATAGAACTCCAAAACAAAACCCAG